GCTGAACGAAGAGAATGATTTAAAGTAAGTGTGATGTATTGATTTATGGATATTTACTTTTTATAATTTTGACATGCGTTTTTTTATAAAGTGTTTAACAGCTTACTGTCATTACCAAACTGTCTGCCCCACCCACACCCCTAATTCTGCCCAATCCTGAACATTTAAATCAATAAAAATCAAAACAAAGGCTTAAACATAAGCATTGATTTTAGCCATCTAAATTATTAAAACAACAAAAAGAGAGTTCTGCCAAGCCTAAACACACCACAATTATTGCGTGCCACGTTTACCTCAGTATGGATGGCACGGCTGCCCTGCTGCCAGATTTACAGACCCACGGGGAGCCCTGGGCCCTGCACACTGGATCAGGCACCCAAGTCCAGTGCACTGGACCAAGTGATGGTGGTGCTGGGCTCCAGGGGCCAATCCCAGTGTTGGGGCGGGAAGAGGCAGCACTGGGCCCACAGTGTCCAATCCAGCTTGCAGACCAGCTCTATACCACTCATCTGACTTGCAGGGCCAACCTGCAACAAGTGGCACAGGCAACCTCTGTGTATAGCACATGGCAGACTGGGGAGGGCCAGGCAGCCCAGTAGCAAATAAAACAGAAAGCAGAGCAGATCAGGCAGGGGAAGTGGATCAGAATGGCACTTAGGGAGGGTATGGGGCCAATTTGTAGCAAAGCCTGCTGAAAGCATTGGCAACCTATAGCCCAGCCCGCAGAGATGTTATCTTGCCCACTAAGCACATTTGTGCAAGAATCCACCATCTACTGGCTGTCCACGGAGCTGTGTTAATTTATCCTGCTGTTACTGAAAGGTTGTCAGGCCTAAGACAGTGCTGCTGCTTCCAGGTCAGAGATGCTTTCTCTGTCCTACTCAGTGTAAGACACATGCTCAGTACATACAGGTACCAGTTAAACATGTCCAGCCCAGAGTTATACTCAAATTCAGTGACTGTTAGTATACACGCAAGGTTTTCTTAAAGGAGGCCCCTTTCCCCCAAATCAAGAGACGGCCTTTTAAAGCAGTGGGGCCATCTACTTATTGCAGCACATTCCTGTAACACGTTCAGGAGTGCCCGCTGGTCAGCAGTCACTTCATAAGCAGGGACAGAAACACAGGAACGAGAGACCTACTAGCTCTATTGGATGTTTGATTGGTATTTTTCTCAGCCCATCACTTAGTAAAGCACTTGCCAACTGAAGGTGCTTTTCTAAATACGGACTACGTTTAACCTAAACTGTGCATATACACTTGTTGCCAAGGGTTAATACATGATGGATAGCTATTATAATGAATGACTATTCAATTGTTCAAATAAACATTGCGGAAATCACTTGGGAATCCATTTCCTGCTTTCAAAAGTGCCAGACACAAATGGGAGCTCAGGCCAACAGGACGCAAGCACTTTTGAAAACTGCACCCAAAATCCAGTTCAATAGCTTGCTCATCAAGTCTGTTATGCACCCTACTTTTGTCTGCAGCTTTTTTGTACATCAACCAAATCATTCAGTTATCCTCTACAAATTAGTACTGCCAATATACTTAAAAAGTGTTCTTAGAAATCCAGCTTCTACATAGTAATATTTCATAACTATGCCTACGTGTTTTACTGCTCTTTAAAAAGTTCTGTTGCATATTAAAGCTAGTCCATTTTCTCTTGGAAAAAAAATCCTGGCATAAGTTTACTTGGTTAATTTGATTCTGGAAGTTCCTCAACTCATTCCTACCCAACAAACTCACAATTTAGGAAACTGAATCCAGGGAGCTCCAAACACTAATCTAGCCAGGGGCAGATCTAGGATTTTGAAAAGGGGGAGCAGATGGTGTGGTGCATCATCCCATACAGCAACAAACATTTTTCTCCAAGTAGAAAGAGGCTTTACTAATATCATACGCTAACGTGCTAGGGCTATATTATTCAGTTTAAAATTGAAGCAAAAACCAATATAATATTGGAATGAGTTAAAAAAAAACAGTTGTGACATAGGAGCTACATTACCAGGAGCAGCCAACAGACAGCAGAATAGCAGAAAAAGGCTAACTTGATTAGTGGAACATCAAGACCATTAAAAAAGAAGAGGGGGTCACTAACAATTGTGAAATGAAGACTTCAGAAGGAACCAGGTAGCTTTTAATAAAAGCCATGAGAATTCAATTGACTCTCACTCCTGCCTGAACAGAAATGCTGCTGCCACTGCTAGGCAGTTGGTTCTATACTTTGGGTGGAGCTGGAATGAAAGTGAGGTGGAAGAGCCAGAGGCGGATTAAGGTGTACTGGGGCCCTGGACAAACAAAATTGGAGACCCCCCTACCCTCATGGGAGCTGGACTGCAGGTGGAGGAGGGGCGCCTTCCTCTCCTGGTGCTGGCAGTCTGCACAGAATTGGATTTGTCGCTTGCATGCCGACTAGTTTATACTTGAAAAACTTGGCTCATCTACTCTGGACTTTATCTCAAGGTAATTAACACATCTGTAGACACTGGTGTGTTCCTGGATCCCTGTCTTTTGGTTCTGGTAGGGGAGGGTCGGTAGACCCTGCTGGGCTGGGGATGTAGGGGGCACATGCCCCCCTCTTCTCCCTGCTCCCCACCCCTCCTCCCCTGCTATGGCCAAACATACACATGCACACAGGCACGAACACAGATGGGCACACACACTACTCTCACTCACTCTCTGCATATGGAAAGAGACAAACACACTCTCCTTGCAGTAAACAGATACACATGCACACGCATACACAGAAACAGATGCATACAGATGCAGATGCACACCGACGTGCGTGCACAGAGATGCGCGCACACACACCCACCCCGCCACATATCCCCCCCCAGCTCCATACTCCCCAAGCTCAATCATTCCGAGGCAGCTCCCTCCCCACTCAACAAGCTACCCATGGCTGTCTTGCTCCCTGCCAGCCCCATTGCACTGACCGACAGGGAGCTGCTGCCCGGCTGTCTGTGCAGCCACGCACATGCATGGGGCCAGGCTGACTCAGGCCAGGAGCGCTGCGCCACACCTCTGCAGGCAGATGGCAGCACTGGGAGGGGTGGCTAAGGTTAATTTTGTGGGGCTATAGCCCCCCAGTGATGCCACCTGCCTGCAGAGGCATGGCGCTGCGCAGCACTCCCTGCTGGTGCAAATGCACCCAGTTTAAAACCCCACTTTCACTTCCCTGCTGATGAGGATCCTGGGGCCCCAAATTGGTAGGGGCCCCTGGACTTGTGCCCAGCTGGTCCATGCATTAATCCGCCTATCGCAAGAGCACCAGTGCAGCCCCCCCGGATCCGCCCCGAGTCTAGCCCAGCCAGTAGCCAGCCATGACCCTATTTTATATTAAAAGCAACCTACAGAACAGAGTATGTTGGCATCTCTCAAAAGAGGCATGTCCTCATGTTAGTGAAAGCTCCAGGCCCTCCCATTTGCAATGGACACTTCATATCACTGTTGCAAGCACTTGAGAAAGGGCTATTAAGAAGCCATTTGGTGTCCATGTGGGATGGCCTTTCATAAAATGCAACAAAAAGGAACATAGAGCACCATTAACCACCCAGCTCTGAAGTGATGACAGCTGGAGAACTGCACCACAAAAGTAACAGCTTGGCATCTGGTTTCTAAAATTCCTTCTCTCCAGAAAGCCATTTCCTCCATACATTTGATGGATGTTAAAAGAAGGTCATTAGGTTCCATCTGAAGGAAAGGATGGTTGTAGCCCTTTGCTGCTAGAGTGTCAGCCTCCTAGAGCATCATCTCATACCTCATTCAGAAAGTGGGGGATATTTTTAGACAATGTTTTAAATGAATAGTTTTTGCAGAGGAAGTAATGAGCTGAAAAATGCAATTCTGAACCACATGACCAGATTGGTCATTTGTATTTAGCCAAATTACTCAACTTGCAAACTATTCAGTTAAATAAAGGGACACATTTCATCTGGATTCAAAGTATCTGAAAAAGAACAAACACAAATATAGTTCAACAACACAAGTCCTGTGGATCAAGAGGTAGACTGCCATTCTGGGTTGTCTTCATGGGTGGAGACAGGGAGTTAGCCATGTCAGTCTGAAGCAAGGCTGGAAGCAAGGCAGGGTGTCACTTCAGGAGATGTTAGCACCTGACATTAGCATCTGATATCATTAACATCTTGACATAGTCAATTCATGCCCCCCGAACCAGTTAGTCTCTAAGATACCTGCTCTGCCTTCTGTCTGTGTTTTCTTGATCTTCTGACTGAATGCAGAGCAAATGCACACTCTTCCACTTATACCAACCACCCAATATCTCTACCATGTATTTATTCCATGCAGGGGTGGTGAATTTGAAACCTAACAATCATCGTCGTATTTGTGATTTTAATACATCTTGCAATGCACTTTCTTAAATAAGTAGCCCTATATTTACTTCTGAACAAATCCTAACATGTTCAAGACCTTGATGCCAAAAGTAAATTTCAGTGAGAAAACATTGGTTGAAGGAATATAAGACTGAAAAGATTTCCTGGGTAATAATATTCTATAATGCTTTTCACGTACTGGTCAAGCTCCCTCATAGAACCAGTTAGGTATTTTGGCCCACTACTCCCATAGGAAGGCCATTTCAGAGATCTACTCCCCTTCCTTCCTTCGTGTCCTTGTGGCAGGGTATTTAGTAGAATTCACAAATTCATTGGAATCTGACGTGGCCATGCTGTGAGCGCTCTGCTCTGGCCTATCTACCCTCCTGATGGTTAAGGAGGGTATTTCTAATTTCCAGCCTGAATTTGTATGTCCAGTTTATACCCATTTGTTCTTGAGCGGACATTGTCTTAATGCATCTGATGAAATGAACAAGTTCACGAAAGCCTGAGCTCATATATATAAGACTTAGTCTATAAGGTGCCTATCTATGCTGACTTCTGACTCAAGACTAGCACAGCTTTAACCACCTCTCATATAGTCTTAATGGTCTCTATATTTAAAAAAAAAAAAAAATCTGACAGTGCTAGTTACACTTCATCCCACAATCAAAACTAGTAAAAATGCTTTAATGGTCAAAGTGCCAAAAGTAGATATGCAAAGTTTATACCAGCACAACTTGGAGACTGAATTTACAAGCTTGAGTTCAGAAGATATCACTCAGACATCCGGTGCATACTTTTATTTTATATGGCTTTTAACTACTGAACCAAATAAAGGCTTTGAAGCCTGTATTTGGTTTGGTAAAGGAAATAATGTGTCCAACAATCTCTTGTGCATGTCTGTCTTATCTAACTAAAATGCCCACTACTCCATGTGCCTTGGGTTTTTTGCACATGGAGATAAAACAAAATCAAGGGAGACAAGAGCTGGGAACATGAAGCCTACAGTTCTACTGATAGGATTTTCACCTAGGTGAAAGGAAGAAAGAAGAACACAGCCCTCACTTTCTTGTCCCTGACACTTCCAGCCATGCCTAGGGACTTGAAAGTCATGGATGGAAAGTCTGGCCACAGAGCTTTTATTAAAACTAACATAAGTTGTGTGGCAATATTCTTCAGCTGCATTTGAAGAAAAAAAATATTATTTGTCCACTACTGAAGCGAGCCAGCCAAAATTGGCTTCCAGTGAATATGCACACCCATTCCTTTTGATTCCTCATTAACACTGGTGAGTACAGTATATGCCCAGCAATTACCCACACACATTGTTGACACTTGAACAAAGACTTGAGAGTGGCTCAAACATTTAAATATGCACAGTAATAGCAACTTAGAAACACAGTCCAAGCTACAGTATATTGAAAGAAAGCCCAAGTAAAAGTGTTGGAAAGAGTTGGTTGTCTCCCATCTTCCAAGTGTTTCAACAGAGAAACCAAGGTCCCCTCTACACAGTACATGTATCATACAATTAACTGGTTAACTGCACAATTACCAGTTACACATGCAAAGTTGCTAAGACACAATAAAAACCTCCAAACAGCTATAAGTGTTAGACCTCAAAAATGTGTACTAACTTTATAGATGGTTGCTATCGAACTTTAATTTGCATGTGTAGAAGGGTGGGTCTCCCCCTATACCTGCAATAATGGGCAATTGGATCTAATGCAGAATCCCACAATCATACCTTTACCTGCACATGTAGAGGGGTTTTAAGTCACATCACTTGTGGAACTTTAGTTAAACTGCTCAGCACAAATAGTGTTCAAGCAGGTTTTTCTTTCTTTACTAAAAATGAGGTTAATTCATAGAATACAAAGTCCTTGTTCTCAGCAGACGTGCAAATGAATCGACTATCAACAGGCACAGCACACCCAGATACAATGCAAGAGGCGAGGTAGGCATTCATCTTCATACTAGATTCTAATTCTTGTTGGAGAAAACATCCTGTCCTACTCTCTAAACTAATCCTTTCCTCCTCAGCTGCCAAACACAAGGCCTTCTCACCCACAAATATAATGACAAGGTTGATGGTGAATTCAGCAACACCAAACCCAACGAAGACTATCCAGACTGCTGCACATGTCAGGTATGAATTTTGACAATCTGATCTGGAAAAAAAATAAGTGCGTCTCATTCAGAAATATCTGTAAGGAATCAGCACCACTACAAAGAAAACCAAGATGTAAGGTATTTATTACCCACGTGCTCCAGTTTTACCTCAGCTGAGATGCGGACTGGTCTCTCTAAAATAAGAGCCTACGTAATGATAGCCAACGCACTGGTCAGGGGGAAAAAATTCTTTCCTCTAAACTCCAGAACCCTCTTCTGAACACATACACCATTTTATTTAAGTCCTACAAGTGGAGATGTATGCAGAATAACTGCTAAAAGAATGAGATGCAAGCACGGGACAAAATAAAAGACACTTCCTGCAGGACTAAAACCATTCAAAATAACTTTATAAATTCTGTCGCATTTCTGCTTTGTACAGCGTTCCGTCTCATTCCTCAAGCTGGTTACTGAAAAGTTGCAATCTTTGCTCTTTGTTTTCTTTGAAAGGCAGCTTAGTTGAACACAAAAAAAACCCAACTATCAGCTCATTATTTACAGAAGTGCAACATAATCTCCCAGCCCCCCAAATTAAACTCCTCATTAACAAGATACTTCAACAAAATGTAAATAAAACGCCACATCTTGAGCAGTGTTTTCTAAAGTCAAGGTATAAAGGTTAGCTCATTTTTGCAACTCCTGTACGACAGAGTGAGTCAAACTTTCACTCGCCATCGAGCAGGCTAAAAATACCACGTTTCAAGTATTAAATCAATCTGAGAAATTGCTAAAGACAATCCATAGTTCGAGAAATAAACGCAATGGAAACAGTATATCTCTCTCTATATACTGCATATAAAAAATGGCGTCCAGTTTCAAACTGTTAGCAAGACAGGTGCGCAGACCAAAAATGTGATCAAAATAACCCTGAAAGCTCTAGAATATCAAACCCCCCCGCCCCCAAAGTTTAACAACATCTTCTGAGTTTCCACTGGAACTATTCTGCTGGTCGGGGGGCTTCTGAAGACTGTCACTGAGCTCTGCACCTGTTGTTAATCCAAGACAAAGTTCTATTCCCACATGGAAACAATGATGATTCAGCAGATAAGTCCAATGACATGCTGCTCCTTTGCACTTTGTTTTCAATGAGATGCAACTGCAGACCTATTTTCTCTGGAATAATTAACGTCCATGGCCAAAATAATCCCACCTTCCTTCAGGCTGGGTCTTGCTTTTTTTTCATTTCTCCATTTCACGCGTCTCTTCAATGTCAGTCTTTTTGTGTTTCCTCATATGTTTATATTTCTCAACATATGCCTTTACCAGATTGGCCACCTTCATGGGATTGATTTCTCCACTTTTGCTATGACAAATCTGTAAGTGTAAACACAGTAGGTCAGTCATTTCAGGTCAGCAACAAAAATAAATGGTCAAACTATTTGCACTTCGAATCTACCTAAAGTACTTCCCCCAAGAGTGTATCAGATACTGTAATAGTTTCATAGCTGGTAGGGTTGGAAGGGACCTGAGCAGATCGTCAAGTCTGACTCCCTGCCAGGGTGTGCTGATCAAAAGCAAAACAGATGTGTAAGGCTGGCAGATCTTATGCTGCTCTGGCCAGTGTACAGCACTGCGGTGCTCCAAGTTGACCCTCTATTCAAATTCACTAGTAACAAACAAAACACAAGGCTGGACAGATATTTGGCTGGGGTGATATGACCCTGGCACCCGTTCCGGGACAGGAGGTCAGACCCAATTATCTGTTTAGGTCCCTTCCAACCCTAAGCACTATGATGCTATGAACAGTACGCAGACCTAGCTCAAGCTTGCTACCCAAACAAAGCTGTTGAGCTTTTCTTGACAGGACATCTATTACTACACCCTAGCTATCCTTGTCTCGGAGACATCAACCCCTCGTCTACTACTAGAACAAACCTTGCTAGATACACCTGGCCTAGTCCCATACTAACTTAGCCAAAGTCCAAAATTCTCTCTACAGAATTACAGATATGGCCCCATGCCTTCTTTCCTACAAACTATTCAAAACCTGCTTTGAAGACAATATTCATTTCCTCACAAGCTTTCTTTATAGCACTCACTCACAGCATTTGATTCACATTTTTGAAGCAATCTATCTTTGTATCACGGAGCTGAATGTGTGATACCAGACCCATTTTACAGATATGGAATTTTAGGCAAAGCAAGAAGGTCAACAGTATATATCTACTTTGGGTAACCAACCTGACAAATTAAGGGCCTGTTTTAAAATCCCTAGATTATTTAGGATAATGTAACACTTCACATGTTCAGAGCACAATTCACATCAGCTGCTACTATATAAGCTCAGCACCTCTGCTAATCAGAATCCAGACCCTTCAGGATGGTGAAGAAAACAAGGAAGACAATTAGTGACACATGAATGGAAAAGGTTTCATTTATGTTGAGTCTAATCAAGTAAGGAGTAAGAATAAGGCACCAGGGAATGTGGGGCCCCTACAGGACAGGCTTGGCAATCTAGTGATTGCGGCTAACGAAAAAGCTGACCTCTTTAACAAATTCTTTGCTTCCATGTTCCTGAACAGGGACCAGGACATTTACCCCACTAGGATTACGGACAGACCCAGGGGAGGCACCACCACGTCTAGAGTCAGGGATGATCTAGTTAGGGAATTGTTGGAGGAGCTGGAAGTGTTTAAATCAGTAGGTCCAGATCCTCTTCACCCGAGGGTGCTGAGGAAATTGGCAGGGGTCATAGCGGGGCCCCTGGCATGGCTTTATGAGTGCTCTTGGGGCTCTGGCCAGGTACCAGAGGATTGGAAAAGGACCAACATGGTCCCCATTTACAAGAAAGGGAGAAGGGAGGACCCTGGCAATTATAGGCCAGTTAGTCTCACCTCAGTCCTTGGGAAGATCTTTGAGAAAATTATCAGGGAACACATCTGCAAGGGCCCAGCAAGAGAGGTAATGCTCAGGGGCAACCAACATAGGTTCACTGAGGGCAGATCCTGCCCGACTAACCTGGTTTCCTTTTATGATCAGGTCACAAAGTCCCTGGACGAGGGTGTCGAGGTGGATGTCATCTTCCTGGACTTTAAGAAGGCGCCTCACACTTTCCCACCACATTCTCTCAAAAAAACTAAGTGACTGCTGCATTGATGCCTACCACAGTCAGATGGGTGGCAAATTGGCTAGATGGTTGCACCCAGAGAGTGGTGGTGGACAGGTCGTTTTCGACCTGGAGGGATGTGGGCAGTGGAGTCCCCCAGGGCTCGGTCTTGGGGCCTGTACTGTTCAACATCTTTATCAGCGATCTGGATCTGGGTGTGGAAAGCACGCTGTCCAAATTCGCTGACGACACCAAGATGCGGGGCGAGGTGGGCACGCTGAGGGGGAGGGACAGAATCCAGCTAGATCTAGACAGGTTACAGAGGTGGACGGATGAGAATAGGATGGTATTCAACACAGACAAGTGCAAGGTGCTGCATCTAAGCAGAAGGAACCAGCAACACACCTATAGGCTGGGGAATAACCTTCTCAACAACACAGTGGCAGAAAGGGATCTTGGAGTCACTGTTGACTCCAGGATGAACATGAGCCGCCAATACGAGGAAGCGGTCAGTAAGGCTAACCGCACCTTGTCGTGCATATACAGATGCATCACAAGCAGGTCCAGGGAGGCGATCCTTCCCCTTTATGCAGCGCTGGCCAGGCCGAAGTTGGAGTACTGCGTCCAGTTCTGGGCGCCGCACTTCAAGAGGGATGTGGCTAGCATTGAGAGGGTCCAGAGGAGGGCCACTCGCATGGTCAAGGGGCAGCAGGTCAGGCCCTACAAAGAGAGACTGAAGGGTCTGAATCTATTCAGCCTCCACAAGAGAAGGCTGAGAGGGGATCTGGTGGCCATCTACAAACTCACCAGGGGGACCAGCAGGAACTGGGGGAGGCTCTGTTCCCCCAGGCACCACCGGGGGTTACTAGGAATAACGGCCACAGATTGTTAGAGGGAAGGTTCAGGCTGGACATCAGAAATTACTTTACAGTTAGGGCTGCCAGGCTCTTGAATGGACTCCCAAGGGAGGTGATGCTCTCTCCTACCTTGGGGGTCTTCAAGAGAAGGCTGGACAGATATTTGGCTGGGGTGTTACCCTGCACTCATGCCTGCCCAGGGCAGGGGGTTGGACCTGATGATCTGTTTAGGTCCCTTCTGACTCTAAGCACTATGAAACTATAATCACACCTGAAAACTGCTGCACAGGCAGAGACAGGCTCCAATCCTCTGCCATGCCAATCACCTGCCTATCCATGAGGCTACTCT